CCTCCAATTTCCTTGTCCTTCTCCTTCCTCAAAAGCCTTAAAAGTTGAGGCATCTTCTCTTCTTACCAACGGTGTCACCGTAACGTCCACTTGCCTCATTCTGGTCTGCCCCAGTTGAATTGACATGTCTCCACTTTCCTCTCCACCTTCAACAAATGCTGTCGCATCTTCTCTTCCATCGATCTGATTTACCTCAACTTCGACTAGTATTGGCTGGTTTTGTCCCTCTGGTGGACCCAACGATTCTGTCAGTTCGAGTGACATTTCTGCACTTTGTCCCCATCCTTGTGAAGTTGTCCCCTTTTGTCCCCGCAGTTTTCTACATTCCTCTTCACATTCATCAAATGTTGTGGTATCTTCCCTTCCGTCCATCTGATTAACCTCGACATCGACTAGTATTGGCTGGGTTTGTCCTCCTTGTGCATCCACACTTTCGTCCCCCACATACATATCGTCCTCGTATATCTCGTCCTCCATACCGGAATATATATCGTCCTCCACTCTACCATTTTGTCCCCGCGGCGATCCGTCTGCAATTGTCAATGCTTTCTTCCTCGAATCCTTCCAAGGATCCCAATCCGGCGGGTACTCCCTATCGATCAACTCCCTCATATTATCAAAGTCATAGTCGCCTGAATCTTCTCCCTCACTTAACATGTTGTCTTCCGACTCGGATGCCCATCCTCCACTATCCGTGCCCAATGCTACCACCAGTTCCTCTTCTCGTCCCCGCTTAGCTTTTCCCTTTTGCAGCACAGCTTCCTTCCTTTTATAAGATTCTTCAAACGCATATATTTCCTCTAAAAAGTCCTCTTCCTCAAAAGTTACAGGAATTATCTGCGTGCTTTCACTCTCACCTCTGTGCTGTCCCGCCATTTCTTGTCCCCGACAATCGTCTTGTCCCCCGAGATTTGACACATCTTCATCGTCTTCTTCTAAACATAGATACATGTTCATACCTCCCTTTTCTATTCTTACCTTTTTGAATTTCGACAATGAACTCTCGCTGTCAACAGAGACTGGCGGCATCTTTTGCTGCGTGTAGACAGTGTCTCCTCCTTCGAACCAAAAACTCAGCTCCATTTTTGTCCTTCTTCTGTCTACTCCAAACGCTGCGGCAATTTTCTGCTCAACATCAGCAATCGTATCTCCTGCGCTTACGTCTACACACTTTGCATATTTCTTTGCCGACATCTTGAATCGCCACTCTCCACTTTCTTTGCATTCCCAGCAACCGACCAATATCATTACTCCTTCGTCCATCCGTACCTGTCGTCCTCCAATAAATACCACCTTCTTAGAATGTAGAATGTGGGTGGTTGCATTTATCACAAACAAACAAATCTACCCTTTTTCGGTGGACAAAAAATGTTGCAATAAATTTTACCTTCTTTAGCTTTAAATGCACCCTTCTTCAAGCAGAACTCCAATTTCGCCCAGCATCAGAGTTTTCTCCCCAGATTTCCAGTTTTTTCAGATCTACAAAGCTCTTTTGTCTGATATATTAAGAGAGCAATTAATGGCCTAACCCTACTCTATTATCATTTCTATTAATTAAAATCAATTATCTACCACATGTAACCGTGCAGCATTAATTGATGCCCTGCTCCTTCTTTGGAAGCGCCGATAGAAGCTGTCTCCGTCTCTGACACAGCCTCTCTATCCCAATCAGGGGTATTTTCGTCCATGGTCGAGCGCGTGCAATTGAGAAATGGTACATTTTGAAAGGCTTTTGCGAAAGTGGTACATTTTGAATGCCATTTGTTTAAATGTGGTACATTTTGAAATATTCCCAATATTTTTTAAAACCTCTTTTCAATTATATTTAAAAACAAAATTCTAACTTTTTCTCGGCCAAGATAATAATTATCTATAATTTATTGAAAGGCTGTATTTATTAGGGTTACAATTACAAGGCCGGACCTGGGCCAGCCCAATAAAGCTATGACTTCGGCCCCCAATATTTTTTAAAACCTCTTTTCAATTATATTTAAAAACAAAATTCTAACTTTTTCTCGGCCAAGATAATAATTATCTATAATTTATTGATATTTTGTTTTAATATTTATTTATGCGTAGGTAGCAGTTTATTTTCATCGTTTACACTTTCTGAAATTTGGAGACAAAATATTCGATCAAAATTGTCAACAACTTACAATTTTCTTTTAAATTATTAGTAGAATTTGCAAGAAATAACAGACACCAAATATGCTCCCCTTGTTGTTGATTAACAAGGATACCACCATCACACCTCTTACGTGACTGAATTGCTGGAGTCCTTTCAAGTTTCAATAGGATTTTGCAAACATGAAACCTAAAACACATAATAGTTTGCACTTGCAAGTAGATTTTTTAAAAATTTTATATTGATTAATTAAAGGAAAAATATTTCTAAGCTACATGAAATAGATACCAACATATAGCCACACATGCAGACTTTAAAAATGTATCATTAGCTACACGAAGTATTGTCATTACATGGTGACATCCACGAACTAACATAAGTTATGTTGCAAACACCATAACCATCATATTCCGGTGTACCACTTGCCGGAATTCTATAACCTCCGGCGTTGACCGGTATTGACTTAAAAGAATATTTTAAAATATTATTTAATTTTATTTATTTTTGCTAAATAATTAAAAGTAATTACATAATTATTTTTAAAACAGCAAAAATAATTACATAATTTAGCTTAAAAAAAAAAAAGAGAAAACGGGGAACACTGCTTCATCTTCTTCCTTCCTCCCTTCCAAAAATTTCAAGAACATCTCTATTTCATTATGAATGTGAGAAACTGGAGTTTTTACAAGGGTTTAAACCGGAATTGCGTTTGTGGTAACTGCTCATGCCATCCATTGGTCTGAAACACAAGGAACCATAACCTTAGAAATTCAAAGTTCGATCCCACAAAACTGAAAGGTCAAAATCCCCCAATTCAGAGTTCAAAACCCTAGATTGATTTTCATGCAATAACTCTCGGAAGCAGGCAAGTTTCAATTTTTCATTAAACTCACTGGCGTTTCCGATTCGCGACGCTCCCGATACACAGATTCCGACCCGGACAATAGACCCGGGCGGGTTTTGTTTTGGAAGAGAGATAGGTCAAACTCAAATCTGTTGACTTTTCTCATACCCTCTAGCCGTAAAGGAGGTTTCTGGGTCTTCTTATTCGGCTAAACCTATGTTTTGCTTCTCGTTAAACCCTCTATACTCACTCACTCACTCGTCTCTTGAAAGCTGGGCTTTTCACTTCAGAATTTCGTTAAAAATAAAAGCTTTGATTTTTTTAGTTGAAATCTGCTTCAGTCGATCGTGTTAAACCTTTGAGATAAATCGGCGGTTTGGAACAGGACAATCAGGAAGATGCGGATGCTATTAAGACCAGGTAATCTGTGTATGCGCATTTCAGTGTTTGATCTGCTAGATTTTGAGCTGAATTCTGGTCGTTTCTTTATAGTATTGTAGCTTATATATTGATGAATCCTATATAAACTATTCTATGGTGGGATTCGCAAGAACAAAATTTGTTTTTGTTTCTTCGCTCATTAGTAGTATAAATTAGTTTGATCCTCATTTGTGTTATTTTTTTCTTACACTGCAGGAATTATATTCCATACAGATATAAAATCATCTCGTGTTGTCGCAGTTTGTAAGCACTTATCATCTTTGTCTGATAATGGCGAAAATCATGAGAAACCATATACATTTGAGGGTAATAGGCAAATTGTTAATGATATTTGCAATGTTTTGGAGACTGGTGCTTGGGGTCCTTCAGCTGAGAATGCTCTATCTGCTCTAAACTTTAAACCACAACCAGAATTTGTCATTGGGGTTTTACGGAGGCTGAAAGATGTTAATCGGGCGATTGAGTATTTCCGTTGGTATGAGAGAAGAACCGAGCTGCCTCATTGTCCCGAATCATACAACTCCTTGCTTTTAGTGATGGCTCGTTGTAGGAATTTTGATGCTTTGGACCAGATTCTTGGAGAAATGAGTGTTGCAGGATTTGGCCCTTCTGTTAACACTTGTATTGAGATGGTTTTGAGCTGCGTTAAGGCTAATAAGCTTAGGGAAGGTTTTGATGTTGTGCAGAATATGAGGAAGTTCAAGTTCCGACCTGCTTTTTCAGCTTACACAACTCTTATCGGTGCTTTCTCAGCAGTTAATCATTCTGATATGATGTTGACACTCTTTCAGCAAATGCAGGAGTTAGGATATGAGCCAACCGTTCATCTTTTTACAACATTGATTCGGAGCTTTGCCAAAGAGGGTCGAGTTGATTCTGCTCTATCTTTGCTTGATGAGATGAAGAGCAGCTCTCTTGATGCCGACATTGTTCTTTACAATGTATGTATAGATAGCTTTGGTAAAGTGGGCAAGGTTGATATGGCATGGAAATTTTTTCATGAGATTGAAGCGAATGGTTTAAAGCCTGATGAAGTCACTTATACCAGCATGATAGGAGTTCTGTGCAAGGCAAATAGATTGGATGAAGCTGTAGAGATGTTTGAGCATTTAGAGAAGAATAGACGGGTCCCTTGCACTTATGCTTACAACACGATGATTATGGGTTATGGTTCGGCTGGAAAGTTTGATGAAGCATACAGTCTCCCAGAGAGACAAAGGGCAAACAGATTGGATGAAGCTGTAGAGATGTTTGAGCATTTAGAGAAGAGTAGACGGGTTCCATGCACTGATGCTTACAACACGATGATTATGGGTTATGGTTCGGCTGGAAAGTTTGATGAAGCATACAGTCTCCCAGAGATACAAAGGGCAAAGGGGTCTATACCGAGTGTGATCACATATAATTGCATTCTTACATGCTTAAGGAAAATGGGAAAAGTTGTCGAAGCTTTGAAAGTATTCGAGGAGACGAATAAAGACCTTTATAAAAAGAACTCAAGTATAGATAATTTGAATCTATCATTTTTATGTTATGATACACAAGATTTAAAAAGACTCGGTGGAGGGAATACCGAAGACTCGGATCTGAACTTCTTACTGTCTCATGTCATTGAGAAACACAATTTAAGATATGGAAACCGAGTAAATAGTTGTTGAAAACTCAGTTGATTTTTGAATTACAAAACATCTATTTTACTGTAAAGTTAGCAAGATGTGATCACCCCACTAAAAAGCATACCAAACACTAAAGAAAATCAATAAATTAAGTTGGTCATCACTCGAATGGCTCCGTTAAGAGTCACTCCACCAGCAACTTCGATCTTGGCAATAATTTTGTTAGCTTCTTCCTTTGAGACATTTTATTTAATCACGGACGGGACATTGGCCAGAACACCAGACCCAAGTCGGGCAATGATATGATCACTATTTCTGTCAATTGGACCCATGTAACTTCTCTAACCACTTCCATCCTTGTAACTGCGTCAAACTTTGCCAACTTCACAGCAAACTTCTCCTCTGCTTTTAAGATTCCAGCATTATCTTTTGAGGTTCACGACCAATAAAATAACGAAGATCACTTTCATTTCAGGTAACCAGTGAAAATATTCTTGTGCTTCAAGAAAGAACTTCACATGACGGCAAACATTACAAGAAGAAATAAACACAACAATAAAGTGAGAGAAGGAGATGCATCACGAGATAAGGTTTAGGGTGATTAATTTGTTCTCATACAAAACATCCACTACGTACCTACTGTAATCACAAGACAAACATAAAATAACACACACAATTAGAAATAAAACAAAGTTGCTGATGATCACTCCATTGGCTCCATAACAGCGACTCCACCAGCAGCTTGGATCTTGGCAATGATTTCATTAGCTTCTTCCTTTGTGACATCATCTTTAATGAGGGAGTAGGGGACGTCCTGCACACATTGGAGCGATGGTTGCAGACCCAACTCGGCCAAATGTTTGATCACTACTACTGTAGATTTGATCCATGCAACCTCTTTAAGCACTTTGGACCTTTTATCAGGGTCATACTTGACCAACTTCACAGCAAATTTCTTATCTTTGCTTTTTATCTCAAGAGGTTTTGGAAGACCCAGCAGCTCACTGAATATATAGCCAAATTTCAACTTTTCATCCGCAGTAAGTAGTTTCATACGCTCAATCATCTCCATGACGAAGTCACGAGGCCGGGGCCTACCATAAGGATCTCCCGGCCGCAATCGAATTCGAGGCCGCTCTGGCTGCTCTGTAGGTTTAGGTTGCCGAGGAGGAAAGCGTCTGCCAAGCGATGCAAGCAAACGACGCCCTTGCACAAACCTCATGGCTATATACAAGAAAAAACGATTTAGAATTAACAAAAGAATTTACCAATCTTCACCACTATATATTTAATAAGAAAAAATGACGAATTTCGGAAGCAAGCAGATTAGAATGAGACTCTTTCTCACAACTAAAAAAAAACCTAAGTTAAGTAAGAGTGACTCCACCAGAGATTCATATATTACAATGCAAAACTAAAATCAATCAATAAGATCGAGAGAAATCGCAGATAAATGATGTGAAAAGGAGAGAGATCTAATTAAGCCGGCGACTAAACAACAAAGGGTACATGCATAGTATGACTAACGTAACCTCCGGCGGCCGTCTCTAAGTTGATGATAAAATGACGACAAGACAGAGAGGGATCGGAGCCGGTTGGTCCAACCAAGAAACAAGAGATGGGAATTTTGGGTTTCGAAAGCCTCCCCCTTTAGCTCTAGGGTTTATTGCTGAATTTCCACGATCCATGTATTTATTAGGGTTACAATTACAAGGCCGGACCTGGGCCAGCCCAATAAAGCTATGACTTCGGCCCCCAATATTTTTTAAAACCTCTTTTCAATTATATTTAAAAACAAAATTCTAACTTTTTCTCGGCCAAGATAATAATTATCTATAATTTATTGATATTTTGTTTTAATATTTATTTATGCGTAGGTAGCAGTTTATTTTCATCGTTTACACTTTCTGAAATTTGGAGACAAAATATTCGATCAAAATTGTCAACAACTTACAATTTTCTTTTAAATTATTAGTAGAATTTGCAAGAAATAACAGACACCAAATATGCTCCCCTTGTTGTTGATTAACAAGGATACCACCATCACACCTCTTACGTGACTGAATTGCTGGAGTCCTTTCAAGTTTCAATAGGATTTTGCAAACATGAAACCTAAAACACATAATAGTTTGCACTTGCAAGTAGATTTTTTAAAAATTTTATATTGATTAATTAAAGGAAAAATATTTCTAAGCTACATGAAATAGATACCAACATATAGCCACACATGCAGACTTTAAAAATGTATCATTAGCTACACGAAGTATTGTCATTACATGGTGACATCCACGAACTAACATAAGTTATGTTGCAAACACCATAACCATCATATTCCGGTGTACCACTTGCCGGAATTCTATAACCTCCGGCGTTGACCGGTATTGACTTAAAAGAATATTTTAAAATATTATTTAATTTTATTTATTTTTGCTAAATAATTAAAAGTAATTACATAATTATTTTTAAAACAGCAAAAATAATTACATAATTTAGCTTAAAAAAAAAAAAGAGAAAACGGGGAACACTGCTTCATCTTCTTCCTTCCTCCCTTCCAAAAATTTCAAGAACATCTCTATTTCATTATGAATGTGAGAAACTGGAGTTTTTACAAGGGTTTAAACCGGAATTGCGTTTGTGGTAACTGCTCATGCCATCCATTGGTCTGAAACACAAGGAACCATAACCTTAGAAATTCAAAGTTCGATCCCACAAAACTGAAAGGTCAAAATCCCCCAATTCAGAGTTCAAAACCCTAGATTGATTTTCATGCAATAACTCTCGGAAGCAGGCAAGTTTCAATTTTTCATTAAACTCACTGGCGTTTCCGATTCGCGACGCTCCCGATACACAGATTCCGACCCGGACAATAGACCCGGGCGGGTTTTGTTTTGGAAGAGAGATAGGTCAAACTCAAATCTGTTGACTTTTCTCATACCCTCTAGCCGTAAAGGAGGTTTCTGGGTCTTCTTATTCGGCTAAACCTATGTTTTGCTTCTCGTTAAACCCTCTATACTCACTCACTCGTCTCTTGAAAGCTGGGCTTTTCACTTCAGAATTTCGTTAAAAATAAAAGCTTTGATTTTTTTAGTTGAAATCTGCTTCAGTCGATCGTGTTAAACCTTTGAGATAAATCGGCGGTTTGGAACAGGACAATCAGGAAGATGCGGATGCTATTAAGACCAGGTAATCTGTGTATGCGCATTTCAGTGTTTGATCTGCTAGATTTTGAGCTGAATTCTGGTCGTTTCTTTATAGTATTGTAGCTTATATATTGATGAATCCTATATAAACTATTCTATGGTGGGATTCGCAAGAACAAAATTTGTTTTTGTTTCTTCGCTCATTAGTAGTATAAATTAGTTTGATCCTCATTTGTGTTATTTTTTTCTTACACTGCAGGAATTATATTCCATACAGATATAAAATCATCTCGTGTTGTCGCAGTTTGTAAGCACTTATCATCTTTGTCTGATAATGGCGAAAATCATGAGAAACCATATACATTTGAGGGTAATAGGCAAATTGTTAATGATATTTGCAATGTTTTGGAGACTGGTGCTTGGGGTCCTTCAGCTGAGAATGCTCTATCTGCTCTAAACTTTAAACCACAACCAGAATTTGTCATTGGGGTTTTACGGAGGCTGAAAGATGTTAATCGGGCGATTGAGTATTTCCGTTGGTATGAGAGAAGAACCGAGCTGCCTCATTGTCCCGAATCATACAACTCCTTGCTTTTAGTGATGGCTCGTTGTAGGAATTTTGATGCTTTGGACCAGATTCTTGGAGAAATGAGTGTTGCAGGATTTGGCCCTTCTGTTAACACTTGTATTGAGATGGTTTTGAGCTGCGTTAAGGCTAATAAGCTTAGGGAAGGTTTTGATGTTGTGCAGAATATGAGGAAGTTCAAGTTCCGACCTGCTTTTTCAGCTTACACAACTCTTATCGGTGCTTTCTCAGCAGTTAATCATTCTGATATGATGTTGACACTCTTTCAGCAAATGCAGGAGTTAGGATATGAGCCAACCGTTCATCTTTTTACAACATTGATTCGGGGCTTTGCCAAAGAGGGTCGAGTTGATTCTGCTCTATCTTTGCTTGATGAGATGAAGAGCAGCTCTCTTGATGCCGACATTGTTCTTTACAATGTATGTATAGATAGCTTTGGTAAAGTGGGCAAGGTTGATATGGCATGGAAATTTTTTCATGAGATTGAAGCGAATGGTTTAAAGCCTGATGAAGTCACTTATACCAGCATGATAGGAGTTCTGTGCAAGGCAAATAGATTGGATGAAGCTGTAGAGATGTTTGAGCATTTAGAGAAGAATAGACGGGTCCCTTGCACTTATGCTTACAACACGATGATTATGGGTTATGGTTCGGCTGGAAAATTTGATGAAGCATACAGTCTCCTAGAGAGACAAAGGGCAAAAGGGTCTATACCGAGTGTGATTGCATATAATTGCATTCTTACATGCTTAAGGAAAATGGGAAAAGTGGATGAAGCTTTGAGAGTATTCGAGGAGATGAAAAAAGACGCTGCTCCAAATCTTTCAACCTATAATATTCTCATTGACATGCTGTGTAGAGCTGGTAAACTTGACTGTGCTTTTGAGCTACGCGATTCTATGCAGAAGGCTGGTCTGTTTCCTAATGTTAGGACTGTGAACATAATGGTTGATCGTCTCTGTAAATCCCAAAAACTTGATGAAGCATGTGCTATATTTGAGCAGATGGATTATAAGGTTTGTACCCCAGATGAGATTACATTTTGCTCCCTCATAGATGGCTTAGGAAAGGTCGGAAGAGTTGATGACGCTTACAAAATCTATGAGAAGATGTTAGATTCTGATTGTCGTACTAACTCTATTGTTTACACATCCCTCATAAAAAACTTCTTCAACCACGGTAGAAAGGAAGATGGACACAAGATATACAAGGACATGGTTAATCAAAACTGTTCTCCTGATTTACAGCTTCTTAATACGTACATGGATTGCATGTTCAAGGCTGGAGAACCAGAAAAGGGAAGGGCGATGTTTGAAGAAATAAAATCCCGTCGGTTTGTCCCAGATGCTCGAAGCTACTCGATTTTAATTCATGGACTAATAAAAGCAGGATTTGCAAATGAAACTTATGAGTTGTTTTATTCCATGAAAGAGCAAGGCTGTGTCTTGGACACCCGTGCTTACAATATTGTCATTGACGGTTTCTGCAAGTGCGGAAAAGTGAACAAAGCTTATCAGCTGCTGGAGGAAATGAAGACAAAAGGTTTTGAGCCAACTGTCGTTACGTATGGGTCAGTCATTGACGGGCTAGCAAAAATAGATCGGCTTGATGAAGCTTATATGCTCTTTGAGGAAGCAAAATCAAAGAGAATAGAGCTAAATGTGGTAATTTACAGTAGTCTAATTGATGGGTTTGGAAAAGTTGGTAGGATAGATGAAGCTTACCTTATCTTGGAAGAGCTTATGCAGAAAGGATTAACACCTAATGTTTATACATGGAACTCATTGCTTGATGCATTGGTCAAAGCTGAGGAAATCAATGAAGCGCTTGTCTGTTTTCAGTCGATGAAAGAATTGAAATGCACGCCAAACCAAGTTACTTATGGTATCCTAATAAATGGTCTTTGTAAGGTCAGGAAGTTCAATAAAGCCTTTGTCTTTTGGCAAGAGATGCAGAAACAGGGGATGAAACCTAGCACTATTTCTTACACCACCATGATATCGGGGCTTGCAAAGGCTGGGAATATTGCAGAGGCTGGGGCGCTCTTTGATCGGTTTAAGGCAAACGGTGGTGTTCCAGACTCTGCTTGTTATAATGCCATGATCGAAGGTCTAAGTAACGGAAACAGGGCAATGGATGCTTTTTCTCTTTTTGAGGAAACACGTCGAAGAGGATTACATATCCATAATAAAACATGTGTTGTTCTTTTGGATACTTTGCATAAGAATGATTGTCTTGAGCAAGCAGCTATTGTTGGAGCTGTTTTGAGGGAAACGGGAAAGGCACGGCATGCTGCACGATCTTGGTAGACAGTTATCATAATCTCGTTTCTTGTATAGGACAAGCAACCAAAGACATTTTGGTTATGTCTGATTTCAGTCAAGTGAGCATTCTGAATCGCAAGGATCCCAAGTTTCTGGAGAGGGCAATGTTTGTTTGACATCTGTCAGTGTTCACAGATCGAGAAAGATAGGTGATCTTCACTGGAAAAATGCTTATATCTATGGAATAAGGATCAATAAACACCAGATAATTACTTCTGTTTCCCTTCTTCGTTTGCATCATTTACCAAAATCTTCATGGTATCTTCCGCATCCAGATGCATTTTCTGCGTGTTTCCTTGTGTAGAACCTGCACATTCAGATTGTATCATTGCCATTTATGCAGGATTTGATTGGAGAATATTGCTCGGTCTATAAGTCGACTTCGGTATGAGCTCTTATTCATCACGAAGGTTGTAATTTCTCTGACTCAAGAGACAGCTCCTTATGCAGTATAAGAAGCAGGAATCTTACGAAGACTGTGATTTGAAGTGAATTTCATTAGAAAGTGTCTGTGTTGCTCTGTCTAACACTGCCTTATAACAGTGCATCAGTTTGATCTTTTTGAACTTATTGTATTACATTGGTAGATCTGCAGCGTTTGCTGGAGACGAGATATAAAGTATAAACCTCTTTCAAATTCATTTTTTACTCACTGTTTTTTTTTTTTTACTCCATTGATAAAGTTCTCTTACGATTCTTGCTTGAGTGAAATTAAAATTTATCCACCATAGAACTCAATTTAGAAAGACTATTACGTTTTTTTCTGATAAAAGAACTCTGATTCTTGTTTCATTGTTTACATTGCGTGTGGATGTTAAGATAACTTAAATAATTGATAAGTTGGGTGTGAAAAGAAAACACAAAGATGCAGAGACTTTTACATGGAAGCAATGGGAATAATAAGATCTCTCCATGCTCCTCATTTTGATAGAACCATACCAAAACTCACAAAGACACCAGAAACATTTTACCTTTTTGACGTTACAAACAGAAATCCCAAGTTCAAATATGACTGAGATTCAAAGATGATATTATCATCACCTTCATTTCATGTATAAGCTTTTAGAGCTGGGCACTCAGGTTCTGTGGCAGTTGTTGCAGTAACTCTTCTTCTAATTCATCGTTTGGTGTTTGTATGTCCTGCTAACAGTAAATGCATATATATCGATACACATATAAGAAGAAAGCAACCATACCTATTCTAGTTGCTGAATGCATTTTTACCTGTGTATTTAGCTCTGGTTGTGGTTGTAGAGGTGGTTCTTGTGTAACAGGGTATGCTTGTGGCTGAGACATTCTATAATAAGGTTCTTTCAGATCGAATTTGCATGTCGATGATTGGAGAATTCCACCTTGACTTGCACCGGGACCCCACATTTTAGCTGTTAAAAAACCAACAGTTTTATCATCAGACCAGGAATAGAATTTGAAAGTTGGATGTTGGTGCTTTCAAATGATGAGAAAAAAAAAAAAAAAAAAGCAAATTGGACCTGATAAAGTTAAATCTATGGTATAACTCTGAGCACTGTGGGCTATCAAATGAAGTCTACCAGTGATCTCTTGACCTGCCATTACGTAAATAGGCTGTGAGAGAACACATCTGATTTGGTACCAATGCGTTGTAGGTGCACCAGGAGCAGTTGTGAGCCATCTTTGGACCGTGCTGTTGGAGATAGAGTAAAAACGAGTTTGAAATATAAATCTTCACTTGCAAAGATAAACATGAAGATAAAAAGTTTTAAATGAAGAAAAATAAGAAGCAAAGTTACCTCCCGTCGAAGAGAACGTCGAACCAGCAGGCAAGTCCATGCACTCTGGTGCACATGGAAGCAGTGAACTTCAACGGGATATCAATCTCGTAAAAATCTTCTTCCTATGGAAACAAATTCAGGGGTAAAATGAGATTGGAAGTCATTCACCCCACCATGAAAGATCAAATTTCCTGACATAATGGAAAGCTGAGGAACAGTCTTAACTAGTGTATGTATACCTTCATTTGAGTGAAATCTATCATGTGAAACATCGGAGAAGCCACTAATAATCTCGGATCAAATGCATCAACCACGGGCTGTAAAATCCATAGATATGATTCATCAATACCGGTTATGATGAGAATAACCAAATATGTTAGTTGGTGACAGATACATATTTACAATAATGTTGCGTGTGAATATACCTGAGAAAAATAACCTTGGTGTGCTGATCCATATAGAGGTGTCAGATCAACTCCATAATAGTTCTGCTGTTGCCAAAACATAGCCTGCATAGAGGAGGAACGTATATTATTAAAATGCTTAAGACTGCATACAAAAACTAAACTAACCCAGCATATTTTGGAAAATTTTCTGGGAAATAATTCTTAGAATAACCAGTGGCATTCCGTACCTTATTTGCCATCTCAATAAATAAGAATTCATCAGAAAAAGGTGCCATGTGAATCCTACAGTGATAAAAGTACATGAGAGTGAAGACATAGTAAGAAATTAATAAAGGAAAGGCTCTCAGAGGTTGCCTTTACCTTCCGACAGTGGGAAACATTTTGCCCTTTGGAGACATAAAACGATCCCTAGCAATTACATACGATTCTAACATTCTCTCGTTGACCAGTAAGGTGCCTGATTCAACCATAAAACATGTCCTTCAAATGATTAATGGAACTTTAAATTACTAGTGATGTTTTTACACGTATTTTTCTCTGATCAAGGTTTTTTCTGGTCTAAAGATTACTAGTGATGTCTAAAGATTCCAAGTTTGTAATTTTCAAGGAAAAAGACGCATTTAAAGTCTGTCTCTGAGATACATACCCATCGGTTCAGAGATCAAAATATCTGCTTTCTCAGGCAACTCGATATCCTCAACTTTACCCTTGATGACCTACACTTGTGCAAGCTTCAACAACATCAGAAAATGCATATAAAATAACAAATATACTGATCAAATTAAATTATAAGTCTTACTGTGATCCGTTCAGCGAATAATGGGTTTCCAGCAATCAGCTTACGAGAATACTCAGCCATTTCTGATGCTTCAACCGCATACACATGTTTGGCACCAGCCTAATTTAGCAGAAAATAAAGATATGTATGAAGAAGCCGAAGAAAGAATGCACAAGTTCCATAACCACCTGATAGCTATGACAGCCACTGTCACCGAGACATAACTAGAAAATAGTTCACATTTACTTTGGCATTACTGTCTTTTGCACTTATGGATCACCAATTCTATTGGGTGGATTAAGGCAAGGACAAGTTCGAATCGGAGATGTTTTTGTAAAAATATAGTGAGGACTTCGCAATAAACAAGTCCTCTTTATTCATATTCTAGCTTTACAGATAAAAGTTCTGCCTATCTATCAACCTATTCTTGTTTGACCATAGCAAAGTCTTAGTTCTGTAACCTATAGCCTAAATATTGCATACCTGGGCAGCAAACATTGACAAAATGCCACTCCCTGCACCCACATCGACCACAACACGACCAGCAAAATCTGAACGATTCTCCATGACTGCGGCATAATATGTACCTGAAGACATGAATGAGGTTCATAAAGAGCTATTCCAGGACAAACAGCGGTGAGAAGAAAACAAAAGAGATTAGTATGATGGATTTGCATCATATAAACCAAGAAAATTGGAACATTTCTGAAACAAACAACATATTGAGGCCAGATATTTTACCTGTCCTCACATAATCTTGTAGCATATTTTGTTGATGTAGAAGTTGTCCATAATAATGGAAATACATTTTGGCTGATGACGCCTCTATCTTATTGTCGAACTTGCTTTTATTAGCTGAAACCGTTCCATTTTGCAAGGATGATCCTATAAACGGAAAAGTGAGAAGAGAGCAAAGGAGTATGCAAAAATATTACGCATCTAATTTGAAATGGGCAATGATAGTGAATGCACAAGTAGCCACAGAGAGAAATTGGTTAGTTGTAGTCACGAACAAACTTAAATTGTCATACAACAATTCTATAATGGGCCTTTAATACTTTCTTAATTAAAAGCCAGAAGAAAAGCAAACATAAGGCACCCATGCTATAACATGTCGAAGAAAATTGATATAAAGGCAAACCTTGAACAACAGCATCCTTTCTCCACTCTTGAAAGGACTCACAAAAATCATTGCTATCCTTGTCATTTTTAAATTTTATATTGACTCCTTTGGAGAATGATTTCTGTTTCAAAAAATCATGAAGAAACGTAAACCAAGGATTAATCAAGAAGGTGAGACAAGATATTCACTTTCAAGAATAACAATTAGAAATTGATCGATTCGAACATATAACGTACCTCCTCTGAACTATCAGATACACAGATGAAATGCACTGGCCCCAACTTGAATAACTGAGAGAAAAAAAACATAAACAATACGATCAATGCATGCATTCTCAGATATAACAATACTCAATATGATTATAAAACATAAGCCAAACAAGCTTTACCAAAATTCAATTAAAATATATATATATATATATATATATATATATATATATCTTCAATTGAAAAATTAGTATGAAAACCATCTCAAAAGTCATCTACATGTTAGCAAACAAACGTTTGAATAAGAACCAGAGGAACAGTAACATTAGCATGTGAATCGATATTCACCTGAGCGGAAGCGAGATCAAAATTGAAACAATGGGTCGAATCCGATTGCAGAAATCGGAGCTCCGTGACTCCATCAACGCAGGAAAACGTAGCTACAGCTGGAGTGGACGACGAAGCGGAAGAGGCAGAGAGATCAGTGACCGAGTCTAAAGAGAACTCCAGCTGCTCAAGCTTTTTCACAGAAGACACCTCCATTTTTACAAAACGCTGCGAATGTACAGAGAGTCTCGCGAAGCTAAACACGTTTAGGGTTTTTCTACTGAGAGTTAAAGCCGCCAAAAGGAGTAATGTAACGGTGGCATTTTCGTAATTTTATCAAGCCTCCTTTTGTAACCAAAGAAAGACCTTTAGTATGGGACAAACACGAAATTGACATTTGCTATTTAAACCAATTTCATAGATCAAAAAAGTTCGAATGTGAATGTCATACATCAACAAGTTCTGCCAAAGAAAAAAAGCTCGCTTTGGTCTGAAAACGAACGAGATCTTTTATTCTTCTTCACACTAGAAGAGAAGAGATCCAAAATCATCTACTTTAATTAAACTACCCAAAACATCCTAACAACTAAGTAGCTTTGCAGGTTTTCTTGTTGTGTCCTAGTCCCTTGCACTTGCTACACTGTAGCTGACGTTTTATCATGTCCAACGGCTCAACCTTCTTCATCTTCGGTCTCCCTGGTGTCCTCCTTGTGGGTGGAGGAGTCACGCAAACTAACCCCTCGGGCGGATCATCTAGCATCATCCTGTCCATGTTTGGGACAGGTTGAATCGACTCTGCATACATTAACCGCTGACTCTCAACTGTTAAGTATGTCGAGCAATACTCATACGGGCTTTTCTCTATGCATCCAATCACAGCAATTGCATGGCTACAAGGTAACCCAGTTAGCCGCCAGATCTTGCAGTCACAATCACATTGATTGATATCAACTATGCTGACCGAAGATTCTCCTCCATTAACCTGGAATAAGCTACCTTCTGGCGATGAAACCTGGAGTGATTGCGCAAGTTCTATTTCTTTCTGTAGCTTCTCTTCGTTAGATGGTGTTAGAGTTGTGACCCATTCCCGGGATTCAACCTGCCGGGTATAAATAGATTGCATCATCTTTGCTCGAAATTCGTCAATCATTTGGGTAATGGGAAACTCATGTGCTTCAGAAACCCAGCTGTAGAAGTCTTGCCCAAAGTTTGAGTTCATCTTGTTATACCTCTCTCCTTGGAACAGCGCATTTGCCCAATGGTGTGGTTCACTTTCTATAACCCAGTTGTAAGCATCAGGAGATATAGTTTTTATATTCTCCAAGGCACTGTAATAACCCTCGGGTGTTGTTGCATATGCCACAGAGTAGAAATCGTTGAGCATATACCGTCTTGCTTCATGAGAAAACTGCCCCTTCAAGTCCACATTTAGTTTTTCAGCAAGCTGGCGTAGACAGTACGCGTGATGTGCGTCTTTTTCAAAGACCTGCGCTATTGCATTCTTCAGACCATTCTGGAAATCTGCAACAAATGTGATTATTCGCGACTCAGACAACGCAGTTTTGAGTTGTTCCAAAAACCAAAGCCAGTTCTCCTCAGTCTCTGAATCCACAATAGCAAAGGCTACTGGAAATATGCCATCTTCAGCGTCAGAAGCTGTTGCAACGAGCATAACCCCTTGATATTTTGAGTTTAAGATGGCGTTGTCAAGGAAAAGGAGAGGGCGGGAACCTTGTTTAAACCCAGATATTGAAGCATAGAACGATATGAAAAGACGATGGAAGCTCGAATCTTCTTTTGTCGTGAAAGTGGCAATACTGCCAGGATTTGTCTCCTTGATCTTCTCACAGATTAAGGGAAGTTGACTGTACGCCTCTTTATAAGAACCTTGGAGCTGCTCTCGGGCAATCTCTTTTGCCCTCCATGCCTGTGAGTAATTCAATTGGATACCATACTCTTTCTTTATGTCCTCAGCGATATCCTTGGGCTTGTAGTCTGGGAAGGCTTTTAACTTCTCTTTCAAGATGGTTCTTACCCATCCTCTAGTTGCACGGTAACCAGGTTTGATGACTGCTCTCTCACAAGTGTGCCTCGGGTTCATTTTCTTGATACATATTAACTGAGTCGTTGATAGCCTCGATGCAGTGATACGCCATGGGCAACCTTGAGCTTTGCATTTGACAGACACTCGATGGCTGTCATTTTTCTTGTATTTGTAAGCAAACCCATGGGCGACCGAATACTTGTGTAATGCATCTCGGAATTCAATAAAGGTATTAAACCGTTGATCAACACCCGTGATGACGTTTTCCCACTGCTGTATTGCTGTGTGATGCCTCTGATCAACCAAAACAAAATTGCATGGCAACGGACTATCATCTGGCATCGCCATTTCAATTTGAAAATCATTTGTCATATCCTCCTCGACACCATCTCCTGCAGCACAAATTGCAGGAACCACCCCTTCTGATGCCGTTGTCCTACTTGACCTGTAGAAGCAATTCAGAGATTAGTTACTTTCTTTTACCTGATTCACAGATGACATGAATTTTTATGAGTAAGAAGAAACTGACACTGCACTTCATTAATTTATAGCAATAGTTTTGGCGATTAAATGACAGATCTCATAGGAAACCCCGTACAATTCTTACTATGATCAGCTCACTAAACCAACACAAGTTCTAACATTGGACTCTAAGGAACAAGGAAATAAAAATGTGTCAACGAAGTAGAACAAAGCAAAAGAAACATCTACCTACTGGCTGGCAAGATGGAGAGATTTTTGGCAGCAGCTTCCTCGGGAATGACGAAGATCTCGACAGTCCCTGCATCTGAAGAAAAGTTGACCATGCGTATGAAATCTTTGTCCTTAGAGATGGTAATAAGGGTCTTCTTGTTTCCAGGGAGAAAGTACTTAAGGGTCATTGTCTCCAAACCAAAACCGAAATTCTCAGCCAACTCTGACTTGAAATCAGTCATTGAAGTATTCTGATCAATGTCAATTGCAAAAGCATCGCCACCAGAATACGATAACGATCCATCTTTGATAGTCACAAATTCCCCTCCTGACTGACATATAGCTATAACTTTGTTGGTGGCCATGACCAAACAAAACCTATAAAACCAAATCAGACTCTATATCACACCTCTTGCATACAACATGAATACTCAGATGTACACAATTTTATCAAATTCAGCCAACGCCATGGCCACTGTACGAAATCTAAAAACATCTATAAAGTTATGAACCCTAATTTCCAAAAAAGAATCCGAAATTGAATAATAGATCACAATTCTGACATCAGAAATGAGGATCAGAAGAGGGGAAAAACAAACCCTACTAAAGAATTATAGGGTTAGAAAGAAGACAATCGAGTACCGTTTATCACGCCAGCCTGAAACAGAAAGCGCAAGAATTGAGATTCTCTGTTCTGAGAAAATATGAAATTGCCGAGCTTTTTTTCTTCTGCAGAGAGAGAGAGAGAGAGAGAGAGAGGAGATGGTGAGAGTTTGAAACTTCCACGTACGGCCTCTTGAGGAAAGGGTGACATTAAAACGCCGGCGTTTTGAAGGAATTAGATTGGCATAAAACCAAATCAATCTAATAACCATTGGTCCGGGCTGACCAATTTACCGCTCCCTAACTAACCGTATACGCACCGTTTTTATGTCCTTCCCCAATCTTGAGATTACACAGAGAGCGCAAACGAAGAAGAAGAAGAAGAGGATGAGTTGCGTTACACCAGCACTTCCTCCTTCACTCTTTACTAATGGGTCTCTTTCGTCTCCTCAAAATATCTCCGTAAGCGCCACGAAAACAATCTCTTCTTCTCTGTTGCCTTGGAATTGCCAAGAGAGTTTTTTTTGGTGATGTAATCTGAATTTTTGTTTATTTGTGCAGATGACCAACTTGAACAGTTTGGTAAAGGTTAGTGATTCTAATGCTTATAAATGGCGCCTTGTGATAGCCTACGATGGCACCCGTTTTGCAGGTTCGTCTTCTTGTGGTATTAAGTTTTGATGCATCTATCAATCTTGTTTCCTTATACCGGCGCATTTGGTTTCTCAGGTTGGCAGTATCAGGAGTCACCACCAACTATCCAATCAATGTTAGAGAAAGCCTTAATTCAGATAACGGAGCTCGGAAGAAAAGAGCTTCATCTGATTGGAGCTGGCAGGACCGATGCAGGAGTTCACGCTTGGGGTCAGGTTTGACTAAAATTCAACTCTCTTTCTCAACTTTCAATCTCAACACAAACTAAATCATCCTTTATTCTTTCAGGTTGCTCATTTTGTCACTCCTTTCAATTATACTAGTTTGGATAGCTTTCACGCTGCTTTAAACGGTCTTCTTCCTAAAGATATCCGTGTCAGAGAGCTGAGTGCAGCGGTTCCTGAGTTCCATGCTCGGTTTTCTGCCCATAGCAAGGTTTACCGCTACCAGATTTACAACGACACTTTCATGGACCCGTTCCAGCGTCATTGGGCATACCACTGTGCTTATAAACTGAATGCTTCTAAAATGCGGGAAGCTGCAAATCTTTTTGTTGGAATGCATGATTTCTCTGCATTTGCTAACGCTACACGGGAAGATGGACTACCTGATCCTTTGAAAACTATATCTCGCTTCGATGTCATTCAAATGGTAAAGAAAAAAACTTGGTTCTGGAGAAGTTAGGATCAGGATCAGACTTTGACCTTGCTTTGTATTGGTGTTTAGGGATCTCTTCTACAGCTTGAAGTTGAAGGTTCAGGCTTTTTGTACAGACAAGTTAGAAACATGGTTAGTTCTACACTCTCTCTCTCTCTTACATGCTTGACATGGCGAAATACTGTTTTGTAGTCTGCTGAGTCCTTGCAATATGCAGGTAGCTTTGTTGATTCAGATTGGAAAAGAAGCACTGGATTCAGACATTGTCCCAATGATTCTGGAAACTAAAGACAGGAGGGTGCTTGCAAAGTATACTACTTTGCCTGCACCGCCTCATGGTCTTTGTCTTGTGTCTGTTAAGTACAGGGAATCTCATTTAAAGCTTCCATTGGATTGTCCTGTAACTAGTTTTGGTAGACATCACACTATAACAAAATGTAAACTTCCCTTTTATTGAATCATTCTTCTGTTTAACATAAGAAACTGATAAATTATAATATTGTCTATTTACTTTTCTGCAAGACTACAATCTTAACAGGATCAAGCTTGATATTTTGAGTGGAAAAAATCTTGATACTATGTCTCAAAGAAACTAAGCTCAACCATGAATTCTTTCTGTTTTGGGGAGTACCAAGCAACAGCCTTGGCAGAAAGAAGCACTTGTAGAGCATATTCAATAGCAAATACTGTCTTATCTACAGTCACGGGGTTAGCTCCGTTCTTCAGATCAATCTGAATTCCAGACTCCACTTTGAAACTAAACGGTCCAACAATCTGCAAAATCCCTAGAAGATTATTATGAATCAAGTAGCAGAAACTATGAATTTGAGAATTTCTGTTTCTCTGGTAGACTATTTGCTCAGAGCAGAATACCTGTTGCTGTAGAGAAACTAATACTTCAGGGCAGATTTTCTGAAATGCTTCTAAACTAGGCTGCCGAGAATTTAAAAGATCGTGTGCGACGCTAGTGGCACCGGTAAGAAACCTCAAACCATGCGGATAGTCTAATCTAGCATGGAAACGGGTGAGATCAAAGAAGGGCTTCTGGAAGTTTCCATATTGAGCTGTGAGTGATGCCCGCCCTAAGGCATCAGCCATGAATCCGGAATTTACAGATGGAAAATGAAGAGAGAACCCTCCAACACCCTCAGAATCATTCTCAGATTTTGATCTGATTGAATTTTCACCAAATGCTGCGGTCATCACAGAGCCTGTGAGATTAATGAAATTTATTAGTAACACCAAAAAGATCATCAAAAAGACCAGTGCTTCCTAGCGGAAGGCTCACTCAAACATAAAACTTTCAACCAGAGGAAAACAAATTAGCTATTAAATAGCCGAAAGAAACCAAAAGATCCCACAAATTCACCATTTCTATCACTAGTTCTGTAACATCAGATATTAGAGTTGCAGAATTCAGATGATTAGAGTTGCACAAAACTTATTAGAGAAATCCCAAAACTTTCAGTCTTGACAGTAAAAATGCTTTTGAAATAAGTCGAAGAAACTTATCATACCGATAATCCCAGATACAGCGACATGAGGACTACTGAGGAAGACGTCATAGGGCTTGCAAGTTTCGAGCTTTGGAGTGGTACCCCTCCAGAGATCCATGTTTGTCCTATAAGAAACTGCGGATTTCAGAGACAAACCAGGAAGCAGTGACGGTGGAGGCACTTCCATAGTATCCGAATTTAACTTCTTGGGTGCTCCACTGTTATGGTGTAAACATACATGGTAACTTGGACCAGACTCAGCAGGAAGAGATGCTAGATCAATAGCCATTGAGAGTGGCACATCCCAATATTCACCATGTTTATCCACAAAAAGTCCAGGCCAAGCCGCTTCTGCTGTCAGATTGTGAAGCGGGAACTGAAACCCACAAAAATATAGAGACGTGAATCAGAACAAAGTGTTTCGGACTTCATTACCTCAGCAACCCAAACTACATAATCCAGACCAATAATGCAGCCTAGGTTATTATTCCACCCACATTGGAATTTAACAGAGGCAGCAAAGCAAAAGTTGTTATTTCTATTCTGTGAATTGTGTTCTTCAGAGAGATGTGAAATAAAACAATAAAATCACAAGTCTAGTTAGATAGCTTGATAGGGAGTAAAGACAGACTTCTTCAGCTCAGTAAACCAATTGTCATGATCCAAATCAACAATGAATCACATTTCCAACCAAAGCATGAAATATTAATAGAGTCAAGAAATTGAAGAGAGGGTAACAGAGAAATTGCCTCGTGATTGAAGATAGCCTTAGCCCTAGGATTTTTTTCAAGATCACCTTTGTAAGTATCGTAGCTAAGAAGCAAAGTATCATCTGGTGATAACAAGAACTCAGAACAAAAACCCAATGCGTACAAAGATTTATCCTTCAAATGCTTGCCAATTGTGTTTAAACGAGAAGCTACTGTAGACGAAGACCCTCGACCAAAAGTTTTAGTCTTTTCTATCTCCGATACGAATCTCTGAACATCGAATTGGCCCAGAAGAGACACAAGCCTTGGGATTCACGAAAAAACAAAACAATTATTGAGCTTTCACCAGAAGTATCAGAAAAAAAAAAGTTAGAATTTTGAATTTGGTGAGGTATACCAGTTGTTGGAGAAAGGAAGAGTGAGGACTCTTTGAAGAGAGAATCCACCACAGCCTCCATCTCCGGTGTTGGGACGGATAGGGGAGAAGGAAGGGATGAGAGGTGAGGTCATGAAGCGGTGGAAGAACTCAACTTGCTTAGGGCGAGAGAGACGAGTGCCTCTAGAGAGACCTAGAGGAAGAGGATCGTCGGGAACAGCTCGTGCGATACCCTCGAGTGTTGCCGGAGTTGACATGTCGAGGTCCCAGATATCTCCCTCTTCGACCCATCTCAGTCTATTCATTGCCGTCGTTTCCGCCGCCGCCGTCGCTCGATTTCTACACCCAGCTGACCTCGAGATGACCAAACACACTCTTACTCTGGATTTTGTTTGATAAACACCTTGCCGTTTTTGGTTTTCATAAGAAGAATACGTCCCGTTTTTCTTAAACCGGCTTAACGAACAAAGTAGGCGTCTAATGTGGTTTACTTCGGTTATGAATAGAATTTTTTGGTTTAAATAAAAAGTGTGGGAACAAATGAAGATGGTTGCGACAAATTAGTGACAAAACGCAAATGCAAACGATTTCAATTGTCAAATGACTCAAATTTTATTTATATAGAAGAACGTTGCTCCAAAATATTATATATACATATTTACATATTTGTTGTGACGACGAGAAAATAGATAAATGAATGCATAAATGTTTATAAATTTAATTTGCCACAAAAGCTTCAAATTCAATGTTTTGCTATAGAAAAAAGTCGAACTGCAGCTAGCGACAAATAATCTCTCGATACTTTATTTTAGTGTTTATTAATCTATATTTTTCTGGTGATTAAAATATTGTTTTATTCTTTGAAATATAAAAATGTTTAGAAGTGAAAAGTTCTTTTTCAATGGTTGGTGGGGTGTTTCGTGCATGGTTCCTCTAGGATTCCAACTTGGCCAGCCATTATATATAAAGGGACCTTGAGTTTTGAACCCTAAACCATCAGACTCACCTTCCTTCACATGCTTCTGTATCTTTAGATATATACACACACGCAAAATACTTCCCTCTCTCTCTCTCTCTAAAGGATCATAATGGGAGGTTCTTGGCGTTTCTTCTTTAGCTTCTTTGGCAGTTTCAAAGCATGGTGGCGACGGAGACAGAGATCGAACCAGGCAGGAACGGACGACGAGATGTATGGTGAAGATAGTGAAGCCAACTTCTATAACTGGTACCTCGTGGAACCAGCTATTAATCGGAGATCCACTGATTTTATCAAAAGGTTCCACGAGACTCGTGACTGATTAGTGATTCCTTCACCTTTTATCCTTCTTCAGCTCTTGGACGTAGTAGTTTGGAAGAAAATTTGTTTGTTTTTTCGGTTTCGTCTCTGTAGTACGTGTTTTCTATGTGATTTCAATAAGTATAATCCTCATTGGTCATCAAGTCTATCAAGTTGATTATGTGTTTTTCTCTACATACGTTATTAATTAATGCATATGATAATGATATTAAATTAAGAAAAACATTAAATTTTCTGTTTTACCTTTTATTAATATATTTTATAAAAAAATTCATTGGCCAAAACATTAAAACAGTAGAGATAAAACTGGAATTTTCACCAAACATTTGCATTGAAAATTTAAAACGGCAACTATTATGAAACAAAATTTAAATCCTAAAACGACAACTAAATTGAAACGGAGAGAGTAAGTAACTTCTCATTGGCTTTACATAAAGATGTTTATGAGAGGATTGATTGTGATGCCTGTATAAGTAGCGTAGTGAGGAATTAGTCCGTATCTGATTGGTCAAATCTTAAACTAAAAGTGTGAATATTATAGATATGATAATCGGTTTTCTTTTTAAAATTAAAAGTGTCTTGGAAGGCGAGAAGAGTGTACTCCAGGTTAAACCCAAAACATGGGATAGAAGTTTTCTGTTGTCTATATAAATTACTCTCGTGTTGTTGTTATAAACTATTTACATTTACTAGAGAAAGTTGAGAGGAGGTGTCTAATCATAAGCTCACCATATAATGAGTCTGTTCTTATTATAGGACGATATGCATATGCTCCAAATAATCGAAACCAAAACTCACTTCTTTATAAAAAAACTTTTGGAAAAGAAAACGAATATATGTTAGAAAGAAGAAGCTTTTGTCGGCAAGAATCGATACAAAAGCATTGAAAGAATCAGTCAGAGCTCGATATGCTTAATTATAATCGAGAAGAAGAAAGAAGATAGTACTCCCTCCGTTTCGTTTTACTTGTCGTTTAAGGTTTTTTCATACAAATTAAGAAAAACATTTAATTTTCTGTTTTACCCTTTATTAATATATTTTATAAAAAAAAATCATTGGCCAAAAGAAAAACAGTAGGAATAAAACTAGAATTTTCACCAAACATTTGCATTGAAAACCTAAAACGACAACTATTATGAAACAAAATTTAAATCCTAAAACGACAACTAAACTGAAACGGAGGGAGTATTTGTTATTCTAGTATTTTGTGTCCAAACTTTAAGACAGCTTGAAAGCACTGCTTGGTGGTTAAGTATCAACATTCTATATATAGGCTTAGCCACTTTGTTACCTTTCTAAATTCTTACCTTCTCTGAAGCTTCTCACCTTTGGGTTTTTTGAACTTTTGAGAACATGTCCTATGCCTTTTACTTTACCTTTCTCTTTGTTTATATGATGAGAAAATGTGTTTTTGTTTTGTTATCCAACTATAGTTTGTATTTCTTATACGCTTAAATCACACGACCCTAATTCTATATAATATTCTTTGTTTTGCTTGGTATGAATTGTACATATCATATATACAGTGTATTGGTCAAGCTCATACTTTTATCTCGTCCTTAGTTTGATGATTTATGTCGTCTTGTTTTATACCATAGTAACACTTTATTTTTCCTTCTACACTAAAATTTCAGAGATCCTTTCGTTTGTTCAATCGAAAAGGGAACACGTCATGAAAGAAGTCATTTATAACAACAAAAATAAAACTTCTTATGATTTTAATCTTAAACGATAGTTGATTGAATGTATGAAAGAAGTCGCATGATGCAATTTATCAAATTTCTATCATCGAGGTACTAAATATCTTCCCTCAGATCTCTGCTTGCTTCTCACAATAATTCATAATCTAATTTATTAGATGATATGTGGTAATAAGTGCTCACGTTTCTATTATAACTTGAGATGGATATGAGTTTAGTTCTGCGATTAAATTGGAAAGATAAAGAAAAGATAAGAGTGTTTATCACAAAATTATAATAAATAGAGAAAAAAAAAAGATGTATACCTAATAGAAGAAAAAAAAGTTTGAGTGTATGCAAATGAAGTTTTGTTTCTCTTGTCTTATCAGCATCGTTTTTTTTATAGTGTGTCTTCAGCTACTTGGACATCTTCGTCTTGATGTGTAACCTTTATTCCATTATCAAGGACCTCTTTTGTTACATCTTCATCTTGATTGGTGTCATGTTTTTGTTCACACGTGACCTCATTCATAAAAAATTTATGGATGTCGTCGATTGCTGCATATACCGCTTGCTTCATGCCATATTCTTGTCCATTGATCTTTCCTTCTTGATTCATTGCATCTTGCTTGATGTCACCGTCTTTTCCAATGTTATCTCCTGCTTGACCGGTTGCCCTTTGTTGATCAGCATCACTATCTGGTTTTGTAACAACCTCTTTATTGTCATCATCCACAATGAGTTCTTGCTTAATTTGGCTAATGCGTTCAGTTCGAACCGATGATTTTGGAGGCACAGCTCTTTGATCAATTTCATTAATGATGTGACGTGGAGCCGATGATTTTTGAGGCGCAGAGATAACGACAGGTTTTCTGTTTGTCTGATGCGAATTCGGTTGCGTTATGCATGCATAATTATAATTGTAATGGACCTGAACAAATATCCAGTAAAATTGAATATGTTAACTAAAACGTATTAAAAATAATTAAAACACAAGAATACGGAACATAAAAATACTAACCATTTGTGTGGGGAAAGGATAACATGGATTGTTATACATGTAACGATATTGTCCCGAAACCGAATCCCTAAAGATTTAAAAAAAAAAAATCAAAGAAATTCTATGAAATCAAAGAAATTATATGAAAATAATATTCAACTTTAGCTTCAAACAAATTTATATAGAACTTACCAAATGACTCGAGTACAATATGGAATTAGATGTTGAAGACCTGGTTGATATTGATGTGGGGGTCTCACCTGATTTAATAATTCTGCAATTTTAAATTTATGAAGAACAAAAGTTGTTTAGGAAAGTTTTTAAAAAGAAAATATAAAAATTAAAAACTGTAATTATATAAAAAAAATTTAAGAATAAACCGTTTTTGTGAGGTTGGTTCATGTTTTGCTTTACACGGAGACTAGCCAAATTGCAGTTGGTTGTTCTTCCATCAATAACCGGTCTCGGATTTTCAAGAGCTCTAGCTGCAGAAACAGCGTCTTTAAAAGTAACCTGAAAAAATCCAGTTCCATAACAAAATCAAAAAACGTTAATAGGTGTTTATCACATGTCTGATATATAAAAGATAAATTAGAAAATAAACATGAGAAGAGATGTATATACAAGAAATTCTAGTTACGAGAACCAATACAGATTACTAGCAAACCCTAATTAATAATATCTCTAGTAGTCTATCTATCTAAAAGCAATTGAAACAACAATCTACAAGAAGCAGGACAATTCGTTTACTTTACTGTATAGAGTTTAACTTTACTGTATAGAGTTTATAAGCAAGTTCGTATGTAACTGAATTAAAGAAAGCACTTACAAAACCATAGCCTTTGGATCGTCCTGGATAAGTTTCACAAACAACATTAGCATCGATCACTTCTCCGAATTGTTCGAAGAATCTTCTCAAATCTTCTGTTGTTGTTTGCCATGCTAAACTTCCCACAAAAATCTTCCTAGATGCAGTATCATGATTATTGTTCTCACTGGTTTGAGACATCATGACTAGTAATTTCTGAAAACCAAAATCTAAAGAAGAAACTCTCCAAAGCAAAGGAAAAGAGAAAAGCAAATAAACAGAAGTTGCTGCGACAGAGTTTAGGATTTTAAGAGTCTATATATAATAAAATTTGATGAGATAAGGAAATTTGTTTCCAACTAGAAAAAGAATTAGTTGAGGTTTATTATGCCATGGAATAACATATTTCCTTTTTTTTTTTTTTTTAATATTTTGATTATTGTTGTTAACTTGTTATTATCTTTTCTTTTTTTTTTCAAAAATAAATAAATAACTTGTTATTATCTTTTTTTTTTTTTTCAAAAAATAATAAATCTCATCGTCTCTCTTATCTCTCTTTTCTCACTGTGCTTAGAAAAGGTGTAGTGTTAGTGTAGACCAAAAGAAGACGACAGTACTTGGGGAGATGTTGGCCAGAGCTCCACCACCGTGTTTGAACTTCCCGTCGAGGAGTAATATCTGTAATCGGAGGGAGATTGTGCGTTTATTTCGTAACGGCGGAAGCGGAGGAGTGGTAGCCAGAGCCGGTTTCGTTCGGCGGCCACTGGAAACTTCGAGTTCGTACGACGATTCCACCGATGAAGGATTCGTTATCATCAGTTCGGTGGATAAGGAGAATGAGTTCTCTCCTCCGCCTACTCCCGATTTACTCTCTTCGATTCCGTCAGGTTTTGGTTTGATTCTTTTGTCTCCCTCCTCGAATTGAAACTGTAGTGATTTTGGGGCTTTTTCCTGATTATTTGGTGCTTGTATATGGTGTTGTAGAATCTACGAGAAGAAATGGTTCGCGGTCGGGAGGAGTAACTGCAAGTTTTGGAAGGCTAAAGGCACAGAAAGTGAAAGCTCTTGTTGGAAAGGTAACGCAGAAGAAGCAGCATATGAGTCACAATGAGGAAGAAGACGAGGATGACGCCTCTGATGCAGAGGATTATTCTGCGGATGAAGGGTTTGGTTCATCATCAATTCTGGATTTGATGAGGAAGAAGCTGGCTATGAAGGCTATTCCTAGAGCAGGAAAATCTGCAGAGATAAAGGAGGTGAAAAGAGTTAGCAAAGTGCGGGAATCTAGAGAGTCAAGTAGAGATTTAGATAGATTGGAAGGAGATGATGAAGATGTTTATGAGGTTTCAAATCCTGACAGGTTTACTGATAATGAGAGAGCAGGGTCGCGGAGTTCATATTCAAAAGGTTATGCTGCTAACTCCAGGGGTAAGGGCGATAGGCTTTTGGTTGCAAGAGATTTTGATTCATTTGAAGGACATGATAGAGCTATTGATGAGGTTTCAAACCCTCGAAAGTTTAATGATAACGAGAGAGCAGGATCGCGGAGTTCATATTCAAGAGACTCTTCCGCTAACTCAAGGGGTAGAGAAGATAGGCGTTTTGTTGCCAAAGAGTCAAATACATTTCAGGGACGTGATAAAGCTTATGATGAGGTTTATTATCCTCGAAGATTCACTGATAATGAGAGAGGAGGATCACATTCATCATATTCAAAAGGCTCTGATACTAACTCCAGGGGTTGGGGCGATAGGCGTTCTGTTGTATATGCAAGAGATATGGATGATTGGAGAGAGAATAGGAATAAAACCAATGCTACTAGAGAGACTGGCTTTTTTAGCCGGAAAACTTTTGCAGAAATTGGATGTAGTGAAGATATGATGAAGGCCTTAAAGGAACAGAATTTTGACCGCCCGGCACATATTCAGGTTCGGACTTTATTTTCCCTCTTGATGAATCATCTAGATGCATGTGTATGTAAACAAATTTTCTGACTGTTATCATTTTACCATTTTTGTTTATTTGACGCAGGCTATGGCTTTTTCACCAGTTATTGATGGAAAGAGTTGTATCATAGCTGACCAAAGTGGATCAGGCAAGACACTGGCATATCTTGTCCCTGCTATTCAGCGTCTCAGAGAAGAAGAACTTCAAGGACAGAGCAAATCGTCTTCTGGGTGTCCTCGTGTTATTGTTCTGGTACCGACTGCAGAGTTGGCTTCCCAGGTTGATTTCTTTATATGTGAATGATCTTCCTAGGTTGATTCAATGCTTATTTTGTATCTGAATGTTTATCAGGACCAAATTGTTTGATTCATTTGAAATCATTGGCAGGTTCTTGCTAACTGTAGATCAATATCAAAGTCTGGGGTCCCGTTCCGTTCCATGGTAGTGACGGGTGGCTTCAGACAACGAACCCAGCTAGAAAATTTAGAGCAAGGTGTTGACGTTTTGATTGCAACACCTGGGCGTTTCATGTACCTAATGAACGAAGGAATATTGGGGTTGTCAAATTTAAGATGGTACTTTAAATCTTTCAACAAAGTAAACTTTGCCTACTCTTTTGAATAAAGAGCAGGTTTGATAAGATGAAAGACTTTCACCAACTTTTGTGTGAAAATCGAAAATTGATGGGTTACTCTTTTGCAGTGCCATCTTGGATGAGGTGGATATACTCTTTGGCGACGATGAATTTGAGGCAGCCCTGCAAAGTTTGATAAACTCTTCTCCTGTTACTGCACAGTATCTATTTGTTACAGCAACCTTGCCACTTGAGATATACAACAAACTTGTTGAAGTTTTCCCTGATTGTGAAGTTGTAATGGGACCTCGAGTGCACCGTGTTAGTAATGCTCTCGAAGAGGTTGGTTATAACATAAGTGATTTGAAATATATAATGGGATCAACAATGTAGCAGATTTTTTGTTTTGCTAACTTGGTTGCTGCATATTCTTTTTTTTATCATCCCTGACCAATGTTGAGTTGCACTGTGCAGTTTCTTGTCGACTGTAGTGGAGATGATAATGCAGAGAAAACTCCTGAGACTGCTTTTCAGAACAAGAAAACTGCTCTCCTTCAGATTATCGAGGAAAACCCTGTTTCCAAAACTATTATCTTCTGCAATAAGGTACCATGGTCCCCAACCTACTGCTTTTGGCTACTACTTGAAAACTTTTTGGACATCTCAGTCTCATATCTACCCTCTTATATGCAGATTGAGACATGTAGGAAAGTTGAGAATATATTTAAGCGGGTTGATAGAAAGGAAAGACAGTTGCACGTCCTACCTTTTCATGCTGCACTCTCACAAGAATCAAGGCTTACAAACATGCAAGAATTCACATCATCGCAACCCGAAGAAAATTCACTGTTTCTGGTTTGCACGGATAGGTACTTCATTTTGGGTTACTAGTATCGTTTTTTATGATGCTATATTGCCTGAACATTGAAGATGTTAATTTTTGTTTCTTTCCGAAACCATGGCAGAGCCTCCCGTGGGATAGATTTCTCTGGTGTTGATCATGTGGTGCTCTTTGACTTCCCACGTGACCCGAGTGAATACGTGAGACGTGTTGGAAGAACAGCAAGAGGGGCTAGAGGAGAAGGAAAGGCTTTCATCTTTGTGGTGGGGAAGCAAGTAGCGTTGGCACGGAGGATAATTGAGCGAAATCAGAAAGGTCACCCAGTTCATGATGTCCCAAACGCTTACGAGTTCACAACTTAAATAACTCTTATCACCTTCTCCTTCTCCTTACTGCAATCTGTGTGTTGAAAGTTTCACTGTTAGAAGGTAAAACTACGTAGAGAAGCCAAGTCCAAATTTTGCCCCTTAGTCGATCTGTTGAAATGTTGTTAATGCTACTTAACCTCCAAGCTCATGGAGTTTGCACTGAATTGATGCCCCAAATCAAGATCATAACCAAATAGAGTACAAAGTTATCTGAAGGAAATAAACAGTTTTATGGAAGATTTGGAAATAAACAGTTATCGTCATCAAGTCTTCGTGGGCGATGTTTGGGTTGGGTTTTTGAAGAAGCAGGCGAAGTGAAGAAGATGAAGAAGAAACTCTCTTTTTTTTTTTTTGTAATTGAGTTTAAATTCGGTTCAAATCCGGTTTAGTATCATATTTAGGTGGTTAACAACAAAGTTTCGAAATTTCGATTTGGGGGACTATATGTATCAACTATTCTTTTTTGTTAGGAGAAATAGACACATGATCAAAGATTGGGTGGGAACTGCTGCTATGTGAAAGTTCCCAAGGAGAAATAAATCGTCAACTCAAATTTGTTGCATGACAAAAAATGACTTTGCTATATAAAAAGCATAACTCAGAATCGGTTTTCCAATGGATGTCAAATTAATCCAAGAAATTTGATTAGGTAGTTTATAATCTTCTATAGAAGTGTGTCATGACATGTGTAAGTATTCATTGCATGTAAAATGATTGAGGGAATCCAAATTCTCTTTAGATTAACACAATTCAGATTTTGAAATTGCACTATCTATATACTTTACTATAAATAAATATACAAAAGTATCCTTGGATTGACAAAAGAAAATTCCTAGTAAAACAAAAAGTAAATCACATCAGATTATGTTTAGATTTTGTTTAGAGTGGCAAAACACCTATAAAAAGAGCTCATAAGAACAGATATATAAAAGCAAAACTAATAAATTAGCAACAACGAAAATGAATTGCAAGATTGGATTCATGAGCTTCGTGGTGATGACTTCATTAGTCATCCTATTTCTCTTGGTTTCAGGTTAGTCTCATCGTGTACGTTTTAGTACCAAACTATGAGAAATATTAATAATAGTATGTTATTCTATCTCAAGTCTTTCTTTTTAATTTTTTTTTTCTGTATTGGGTGAAAAGTAGGGAAAGTTGAAGCTAAACCCAAATGCATTGGATCATGTGAAATACTTGGTGACTGTGGCATCGCTTGCATGAAGAAGGGATACTTATTTGGCCAATGCGTTGGCTGGAGTAATCCCAATACATGTTGTTGCGGCCATTAAATGTTTCATATCTTAAATGTATCCAAAATCATCAATAAAAACTCTTAAATATCTTGATTAGTAATACTACTACTACTACTCCATATAGCAAGCGTGTGAGTTTTTGACAAGTTTGCTTAACTCAAACACTTAACAAATGGAGTAAGAAAAAAAAACATTTGCATTTCATTAACAATTAATAATAATGTATACAATTTTTTTGAACATTTTTTTTTGAAAAAACATTATTACGACCACTAACCAATATTATTAAGACATGGATTTGTAGTATACGGAATCCATGTGCGCCTTGATATTTCTCGATCCGTATCATATTTTTGAAATGATCCCCGGTGGCTGTTCGTTCATATATATAAATAAAACTATAAAAAAAAAAACCAGCTTAGACTGAGTGAAAAACTCAAAAAAAGTATTTATGGTAGATCAATTTTATAAATTCAACAAATATAATAACACGACAAAATGGCATATTGATAATTAATAAATAATGTTGCAGTCTGCAACATGAGCTGGTTTTGTTGATCACTTGATAAAGTAGTTTGGTTTAAAAAAACCAATTCAACATGAGCTGGTTAAACCTGAAGCATGGAGATGAAATTCAAGTGATATCAGATTTGTTTAAAGGGTTTTAAGTTTGATGAAGAAAGAACTTACCCAAACCAGCCGCATGGTTGAAAGTAAAGCACCACTTTGTCATCAGTGGCAGAGCCGTGCCAAAGATTTTTAGTGCCATAGGCAAAATAAAAATATATAGTTTAGTGTTTAAATTATTTTAAAATAACTATCATACAAAAATATAGTTTAGTGGTTAATTAAGTAAAAAAAAATAAGTAAAATAATTTATAAATAAATTTTTGACAAGACAAATCAAATCAAATATAAATTATTATGTGATGAATAATATATATATATATATATATATATATATATATATATATATATATTTATATGGATACAAAACTACGGTGTTTAATAAAAACATGTATTTTTAGAGTCTAAATAAGTATAAACAAAACTAAATGTTTGTTAAAAATTGACTAATAAACAGAAGAAGATGGTTAGAAATAAAAGAGAGAAGTTAATGTGATGGGAACATAATAACAAGTGCATGGACAGTAAAAAAAAATACTATCGCAGTTTTAAGAAGAAACATGGAGTAAATATGCCTCCCTAAATTTTATCAAAACTTTGATGCCGTAGGCGGTTGCTTCATTTTTTTCCAAATAGGCACGGCTCTGATCAGTGGTCAGGTTCGTCATGACCATCTCTCCTGGCGAATCGACCCATGTTCGACCGAAGATAAGGTTATGAACCTTTGTCAGGGGAGGTATAAGATCAAGAACCACACCATCTCTTTTAAGTGTCAGTCGGGTCCTGCACATAGAGCCATTGAACTATAAGAATTTCGTTTTCAGTTTTGAAGTGCAATCGTAAGCGAAATGCTCGTTTTTTGCGTGACCAGCACTCATTGGTGGGTGATGGCAAACCTGAGGAACAAAACATTGATATATCTCAACTACGAACTCATGATTATTTTCAAGCACATTGGAATATGAGTTCTAAAGAAATGACTCACCTGCAGATCAGCTATAAAATTGATCCCATTATGATTAGTCATCTCGTAAGTCTCACCGAGAATTGGATTGAACGGCTTCCAGGTACGCTGGTAAGCATAATACACAGAGATAGCCCATGATGCTGTTAAAGATCAAATGACATTAGCCACACCATTAAAAACACTACAAGAAGAGATACTGACCCTAGACAGCTAGAAAGAGTTTGAACACAAAGAAGAACATGAAGAGTGGGGATGTGCTTACATGCATATACCATACTCATGTAAGGATCTTCAGTTTTGTCAGCCATGTCCACCAGATGCGAGTATTCCATCAACTGTTAGATAGATACAACAAAACATGTTCAATATAAACCAAAAGCTAAAAGATCTTTCATAAAATCTAATCTAAGAGCACAAACCTCAGCCATTTTCTGCAGCATTGTCATAGGTTCAAAAATGATCACAGGAAGAGTCACCATAGATGTAACATCAGACCCTATATACTTCTGCATCATCTTCCAGTAACCATCACGTTCCTGATAAATCAAGCCAACATATAAATACAGAGGATTGATCATGATTTGTTCTTTTTTTTTCCCTATTCTAGTAAATCAGCATGATATATCTATATATATATATATATATCTCTTTCTTCCATCTTCCTCTTCCTGCTTCCTCCTCTGCATCTTCTACACTTCCCTCTGGACACAATTCATGTCTTCAATCTTATGGTCCTCTGTTTAATCGCTCTGTTTTTGGGTGCTTTGTCATCTGTATCCTGTCACGCAATAGGTTGATCTCCATCCTCTGTTGTGCATTCGATATCCAGTAACTACATCTTCAGTCACTGATCCATAGACCCATCCAACTCTTTTGCCCCATTCAGTTTTATCCTCGTAGAAGCAAGATATCACACTGATTGCTTCAGCTACAGTGGTTGCATCAAGCGGTTCACGTGGGACAGCAAGTGAGCCAGCTGTTCTACTGTTCTTGCCTTTGCCTTGCAAGTCTTGTAAGAGTCTCCCTTGGTATTCAGCAACGAAAGAGTTTGTTACCAAATCTCTTTGGGAGAAGTAGAGATTCAATATCTCCATCATCATTCTCTTCTTCGTTGTATTCTTCATTTATAAGCAAAGTAACTTCATCATCTTGACCTTTCTTCTTCCAAGCCAGCCATGATGTTCAGTTGCTCTCGGCGGGCTAAACCCGTAGAGAGCTGTTCTTCGGAAGATACAGCCAGTTCCCACATACATTGGACCTTGAAGTGCATCCAAAGCTCTCATACTAACATCAAAGAAGACAGTGTTGTGGTTTGCATAACGATCATTTGGGTCAATAACTTCAAACCTCTGAGGGAACTGAACATAGCAGATTCTATCAACTCCACGATCAAGCAAGACGAACATTCATTCCTTCCCTCATAGCCATGGAGTTGCAGATGTTAGTGGTCAGAATCAAGGTTGAGGATGAATGGGCCATTAGACAAGATAGCGCTGGTTCTAATTTCATGGCTCCTTCTCTCTCGAAACATGGACAAGCAATTCTCAGAATCTGCTTCTGGCTCCATAAAGGTTCTGCATTAGGAGGAGCCAACATCATCATCTCCATTTATAAACAGTTTGGTTCAGAACCATCATCTTCATCTGTTCTTTCGTTTGTAACAGAGAGAACAGAGAGATCGTCCCGGTCCCACATAATGTTACAAACTTACCGTTTAGATTAGATTATCACCGTCCGATATCTCATATTTGCAACGTGATGAAAATAAACGGTCCAGATCTCTCGAACGTTCTCAGATTTTCTTATTTTTGTCAACCCTAATAAGAAAAGGAAATAAGCGTTGAAGAAAAAAAGGAAACAATCGCAACTTTCCTTTTTTTGTTTGGGGAGAAGCTAGTGCTTATAAATAAAAACCTGAATCTCCAACATCACTCATTCTCTCTTCTTCCTTGAGATATCAAAATTCATTCTCATTCTCTCTTCTTCTTCTTCTTCTTCGATACCATAACAAAATAATTCTTCATCTTTCATTCTCTTGTCTTTTCTAAACACAACTATCGTTTTTGATCTTTCATTCTCTCGTCTTTTCAACAAACAAACAACTATCGTAAGATTGATCTCATCCTCTGTTGTGACTCATCTTTAACCCGATGATCCAAACGATTTCAAATCCGGTCAACGACGGGCCACCGAAACGCTTTCACCGACGGCCAAGGAGAGCACCAAGACGGCTAAGGAAAGAGGACAACGAAGAAAGAGACAAAGAGAGACGATGTTTCCATGGCTGTGACCATCAAAGAAAGTGTCTCCTCAGCATGATCGATTAGTCTCTGTTTCGTCGAACAATGTAAGGGTATTTTCTCTTAAAATATTTTGATTTTAGTATTTTAATTATTGATTTTGTTTTTGTTTTGTTTTTTTATAAGTGTTAAATTTTTTAGTTTTGTGTAAACCAATTGGATACATCATCCAAACCCCTAAGAGGTGTTCTAGGTTCAATATGGTTTACACATAATTAAATTTTTTAACACTTTTTTTTTTAATGTTTTGTTTTGTTTTTTGTTTTTTCGATAAGTGTTAAATTTTTTAATTTTGTGTAAACCAATTGGATACATCATCCAAATCCCTAAGAGGTGTTCTAGGTTCAATATGGTTTACACATAATTAAATTTTAACACTTGTTTTTTTTTTTAATGTTTTGTTTTGTTTTTTGTGTTTTTGATAAGTGTTAAATTTTTTAATTTTGTGTAAACCAATTGGATACATCATCCAAACCCCTAAGAGGTGTTCTAGGTTCAATATGGTTTGCACATAATTAAATTTTTAACACTTATTTTTTTTTTAATGTTTTGTTTTTTTATAAGTGTTAAATTTTTTAGTTTTGTGTAAACCAATTGGATACATCATCCAAACCCCTAAGAGGTGTTCTAGGTTCAATATGGTTTACACATAATTAAATTTTTAACACTTTTTTTTTTAATGTTTTGTTTTGTTTTTCGTTTTTTCGATAAGTGTTAAATTTTTTAATTTTGTGTAAACCAATTGGATACATCATCCAAATCCCTAAGAGGTGTTCTAGGTTCAATATGGTTTACACATATTTAAATTTTTAACATTTGTTCTTTTTTTAATGTTTGGTTTTGTTTTTTGCTTTTTTGATAAGTGTTAAATTTTTTAATTTTGTGTAAACCAATTGGATACATCATCCAAATCTCTAAAAGGTGTTCTAGGTTCAATATGGTTTACACATAATTAAATTTTTAACATTTGTTCTTTTTTTAATGTTTTGTTTTTTTATAAGTGTTAAATTTTTTAGTTTTGTGTAAACCAATTGGATACATCATCCAAACCCCTAAGAGGTGTTCTAGGTTCAATATGGTTTACACATAATTAAATTTTTAACACTTTTTTTTTTAATGTTTTGTTTTGTTTTTTGTTTTTTTCGATAAGTGTTAAATTTTTTAATTTTGTTTAAACCA